TTTATTAATTAGAAAGAGAATAGTAACTTTCTGAGGGGTCTGTGAGAAACTAGACTATTGGAATCCATATTTCCTACATAATACTCAATAAATGAATGACTCACTTCATTGTCCTTAAATGTTTAGAAAAGGTTAGAGATCACAATTGATGCCAAGCAATAAAAAATTCTTCAGGTTGATAATCTCCAATTTTTTTTCAGTTTACAGATATAACTGAAAACATCCTGTACCTCTGTGTACACATGCAAATGAATTGAGGAAACAGAGACAACTATGAAAATAACCCAGACTTTAAATTTCTTTTTCCACCAAAAGAAAGGATTTTGGCTAGATTTATCCAGTATTACTACAGATCAAGCAGTGGTGGTCAATTCTTATAAGTGTACTCCTAACTTCCATTTTAAATCTCAAAGCTACTTTTCTTTTCAAAAACCTATTAATACCAATATCAAGTTTATTAAGTAACATTGTAGAGAAAACAGTACTTGTCACTACAAATGTGACTAAAGGATTTTGAATTAGAGTGATGAAGAAAACTGAGGCAAAGGTCATCAGTCAAGTGAAAAATAAGCAATTTTTAAAAATTAACAATTCTCAAAATACTCTAGTTGAAGAAATAAAATAGGTTCTAAACTGGGCAAACAGTGACCTCAATCCTCTGCCTGACTTTGAAATAAACCTGATATTAAGGCATGAAATAATTACTTAAAGAAATCACTGAAACCTTGAAAGCTTTCAAACTGTTTTTTTGTCTCAAGTGTTCTTAGACCAGCAGTCACAACAGGAAGAAAGGTATAGATGCCATCAAATTAGATTACCAGAAAAACTCTCTCTATTTTACTTTATTTAATGTGACATATAAAGAAAACCCTGCACAAATATCTGTCTTTAATTTCTCTAGTGTAAAAAAAGAAATATATTGTGTCTGGCAGAATGAAACACTTGAAATAGCCTGGGTGCATTTAAAAAAAGAGAAGGGGGAAAGAAATCAGATGACTACAATGAGCCTTCAAAGCCACTCCAGCAGTCGGGATAAATAATGTAATAAACTCAACTTCATATTCTGTTTATCTCCCTTGTGTAATAAGCACATATTAAAAAAATAAAACTTTAAATTCATGAATCCTTGTGAATAGACTAGCAGCCAGCAGATAATGAAAAACACCAAACAATATCTGCGTGAGCACTTAACATGTGTGTGCATATCCTTTAACAGATACCTTTTTCAGGATGAAAGGTTATAATTGCTGAGATTTATGAACATGCAACTCAAATTTAAATTAAGTTTTTTTCTAAAACAAAGAAATATTGCATTCTTGTATTTCTCAACATAATAGAGATTTTCTTTAAACTTAATAAGGACACTATTTATGAATTCCTTTGTATATCCCATATAAGTAAGTAGGTCTACCAAAGTGGGGATAAGTTATTTAGGAAATAGTACTTGAGGAAAAGTTGTTTTGCCATTGTTATTTTGAATGCTTCGAAGTGTTAAGGATCACAATATTTAATTATTTTATATTCACTAATACTACTAACATTTATGATAATAGTGTGCTGTGTCCTTATTGTTTTCTTTTTCTTTTTCTAACTGGTACATTTTGAATCAAGCCTGCCTCATAAACTTAGTAAATGAAATGTAAAAGTCAGACATTAAAATTCCAAATACCATTCAATGTAAGCATTTCAAATATCATTAAATCATGAGATTCTTGGGATGTTTTTTCCTTCAATTAGGCGAGTTTTCCTCAATTATCATTCTATTATTAGCGCACGTCAAAGATGACTGCATGCATATCACTGAAAACAATTAAGTATTTACATCCTAAAGCATGAGACACACACTATTTTATTCTAGTAGTACTAAGATTGTATTTACAATAAAAAAATTTTAAGACTGGTATAAATGGAGTTTTAAAAAAGTTTTGACATTAATAAATACATATTAAACCATCTCTATGTATTGCATAATCATTTGACCTAACTAGTTTAATAGATCAAATATTTTTTTAAAAACTACTGAAAAATAGTTCAATATGTTATACCCATAAAATAAATCTATCTCCCAAGCCTAGATTAAAATCGCTGAAAAACAAAAAGGTACTGTTATTTGTAATTCCTCTCCATAGGTCATTTCCATAAAAAAACTTCGGGGATGTCAAACACACTCTTCAGAATAGTTTAATTTTCCCTTCAGCAATGAGGGGCGTCCAAGATCACTGAAAGGATTCAGCTACAGAGGCAATTCATTTCACGTGTTCAGTGTAATAGAAAATCACTGTGTTGCAGCAACAAGCAGTACTTGCACTAGAGTATTATTCATCTAGGGCGCCCAGTTCACCCACAGTGATAACCGCGGACCGGTGAATCCTATGTTATGTAAATCACCTTCAGCTCAGTGTGTGACGGGTGCTTAAAGAAACAGCTTAGAAAACAGTCCTGGCGTCCTTGAAACTAAATGACTTCACTTTCCTGGAACACTCTAGATCTAACGAGGTTGCTAGTACACCTTTTCTCATAATCAATTTTTGTTTCTCAAAGTGCAAATTGTTAGTGAAAAGGCCCTGGTTCCACCAATTAGTTTGCACAAAGTGCTTCGGTGTTTAGCTTTGCTTTAACCCAATTAAGCTGCACAGTGAGCCCCGAAGATGTGCCACCTGCGCGCCTGGCTCCAGCCAGGCCCGGCCGGCGTCCCTCGCAGGCCAGCGTCCTTCCGTTAGACCCACTGGGGCGGCAGCGCCAAGATCCCCCGAACGGCCCCACGGCTTCCCCGTCCCCGGCTGTCTCACGTCCTTGACAACCAAGGGTGTTCTGCAGGTGGTCCAAAAAGGCAAGGGGCGAGGTCTCAGGGCAAGCATCTCTGGTCTGAACCCAAGGAAGAAGGGGCTGGGTGCAGGGGACCCCGAGGGGGCTTGGCTGCGACCACACCTGAGCCAGACGTGGGCGGTCAAGGCAGAGGGGCGCGTGGGCAAAGCGTGGCCTGGAGCAGACGTGGAGAGTAAGCCGGGACACCAAGCAAGGTTTTCAAATAACGCTCAGGCAGAAATAAAACGTAGCGATCTGGAGCCCAGACAGAAAAGCAAGAGGGCACGGGAATGCGGAGCAGCGAGAGGGAGGCGGCCGGCGGAAGGCACAGGGCCACCCGCGCCGGGTGAGGGCAGAGGCAGCGTTTCCCCAGAGACCGCCGCACATCCTCGCCGTCGTGGCAGCAGGTTCTTGGACTCTGATGCGTCTCCCTTCCAACTGCCAAAAGGTAGCAGTGCATTCACCCGCGACGACGGCAAAGTGGGGAAGGGCTTTTTTGGGTGTTCCCAGACCGCTCTCCTAAGGGGATGGAAGGTCCTTGGGAAATAGAGTAGATGGGTGCACCACAATGTAATATACTATTTTTAGCTAAATTAGAATCTATCACTGTTGGATAAGGAGAAAGTAAATAATAGGTGGCTTTGTGATGCTGTACCTGTGCAAAACAAAACACACAAACAAAAATCAAAAACTTAAGTAAAAAGTGGGAGCCCTGAACAAGATCTTGTTAAAAGAGGCTCTGAAAGAAAGTGCCTACAAACCTGTTACCAGGAGCTATAGGATTTGACTGGAAATATTCTTAATTTGAAAGAGGAGGCATCTAAGTCAAAGGTAGGCAATTTAAAAAACCCAACTAGGTTTAAAAATCACAACATAACCCCTAAGTAGTATTTCTTTAGTTTCCTGTACTTTTAGGACACAACTGAACCACCAGGAAAATTAAAAGTTCTAAATAAACCCATTTCCTCCTCCTGTTTCCAGGTTCCAAAATTTAGAAACGAAATGATTTCCTTCATTTTTGTTTTCAAATGATGTTTAAATTAAAAAAAAAAAAAACCTAGATGACTGCAAGTTAATTTTCTTTGAAAATATTAACCATTTTTCCTTAGTTAACATAAAATAGTATAAAATTAGAAGTTTACTGCCAAGTTATCACTTAAGGACACTTAACACAGGAGATAAAACCTTGATTACACATCTGTAAACAAGCCAGAAACCCTAAACCTTCCATTTTTTTCAGGATAGTTATCTGTAAGGGGGCTTGATTTCTATGATCTCACATGAACTTTATGTACTATGGTCATGTGAAATAACATTAAAATGGGGTCACTATGAAATAACATTAAAATACTCTGTCCATCCGAGAGACAATTTATTTTTCAAATATTTCTATAAGTGCATATAACAGCTTTGTGTCCTGCTTGTAATGCTCGGAAAGTCTACCAAAGTGCAAAGAAGCCTGCAGCTGGTGTGGCAGAGGGAGGTACCAAATATCTTTTAAACATCCTAACTTAAACGGGATTCGACAACATCTAACACATTAGCAATAATTTTCAGATTCCTTTCAACAAATGCAAAGGAGGAAAAAACGTAAGTTAAAAAAAGAGCACGCTACCTCCATAACGTTTCAAAAACTCATTTTAACATATAGGAACATCCAGAATGAGAAAATTATACAGGTATTCCTCCATTTAAAGCCAACTTCCATATGCCAGTAGTCTGCATGAAAGAAACTTTCACCCTGCATTTAAGAAGACCCCAAGGATTAACGGGTGTTAATTATCTTACTCTAAATGCAAGTTAGTGACTTTGTTTTAGAAAACTCCGTCTAGATCACTAGTTGATGGATGATCGTTAATACACCTGTATTTGCATTTCAGCAGTAAAAGACAAGCAGGGTTTTCAGCACAGAAGAGAGACGCTTTGCCAACTCTCTTCAAAAACGTCAATATGTTTCAAGTAACACCAAAGCTGAGAGATTCCTCTTGATTTCCAAACTGTCTAGGTGGCCTGGGTGGTTTTCTGCCGGCAGCAGCCTCCTACCTTTAGTTTGTGTGCCTATATCCATGAGGGGGGATTAATTAGCCGGGTTGGAACTGAAGGAGGCTGTCGTGACGAGCCCAATGGCGATTGGCCGCCCGCCTGCCTGGCCCTGCCTTTATAATTTCCACACGAGTGCATCTGGGCTCTTAGACAAACCAACAGCGGCTTCTTCTGACACATACACACGCACACTCACCCCGAACACACACTCAGCACACTTTTCCTCCATTTGATTAACAGTGCTGCACACACAATGATTACGGGAAAGCGTAAATAAACACGGAAAAGGGTGCTTATTCTGACTACTGGAGGAGCTTTGCTGGGTCTCAGCGCAACTTTTGTTTTTTATTCCTGAGAAGGTGATCTCTCCATGCGCTTCTCTCCCACAAGGATTCTTTAAAAGAGGAAGAGAGACAAGGAGGTGGGGGGGAGAACAATCTTTCACTTTAAGACCGGCTGGGCTCAAAGATTAAAGGAAGGGAAAAGCAGCGGGAGCAGCAGCAGGGAAATCAACGCGGCAGCACTTCTGAAAGGCATTTTTGATCCATTTCTGAGCGCTGCGGCCCATTTCTCCACCGAAGTTGGCTCCAGCTCTAGCAGCCGCATTGGATCCCACAGCTTACTGCGAGACTCCGGTGTACAATCCGGATCTCTGCCCCAACATGATCGCGGCCCAGGCCAAGCTGGTCTACCATCTGAATAAATACTACAACGAAAAATGCCAAGCCAGGAAAGCTGCCATTGCCAAAACTATCCGGGAAGTCTGCAAAGTAGTTTCCGACGTACTGAAGGAAGTGGAAGTGCAGGAGCCGCGTTTCATCAGCTCTCTCAACGAGATGGACAATCGCTATGAGGGCCTCGAGGTCATCTCCCCCACCGAATTTGAAGTGGTGCTTTATCTCAACCAAATGGGGGTGTTCAACTTCGTGGACGATGGCTCGCTGCCCGGCTGCGCGGTGCTGAAGTTGAGCGACGGGCGCAAGAGGAGCATGTCCCTCTGGGTGGAATTCATTACCGCCTCCGGCTACCTCTCGGCGCGCAAAATCCGGTCCAGGTTTCAGACGCTGGTGGCTCAAGCAGTAGACAAATGTAGCTACAGGGATGTGGTAAAGATGGTGGCAGACACCAGCGAAGTGAAACTGAGAATCCGAGATAGGTACGTGGTGCAGATCACGCCGGCCTTTAAATGCACCGGGATCTGGCCGAGGAGTGCTGCCCACTGGCCACTTCCCCACATACCCTGGCCGGGACCCAACCGGGTGGCGGAGGTCAAGGCGGAAGGTTTCAATCTCTTGTCCAAGGAGTGCCACTCCCTGGCCGGCAAGCAGAGCTCGGCGGAGAGCGACGCCTGGGTGCTGCAGTTCGCGGAGGCAGAGAACAGACTGCAGATGGGGGGCTGCAGAAAGAAGTGCCTCTCCATCCTCAAAACCTTAAGGGATCGTCACCTTGAACTGCCGGGCCAGCCCTTGAACAATTACCACATGAAGACTCTGGTTTCCTACGAGTGTGAAAAGCATCCCCGGGAGTCGGACTGGGACGAGTCCTGCTTGGGTGATCGGCTGAACGGGATTTTGCTGCAACTAATCTCCTGCCTGCAGTGCCGGCGGTGTCCCCACTACTTTCTACCAAACTTAGATCTGTTTCAAGGCAAACCTCACTCAGCTCTGGAAAACGCTGCCAAACAAACGTGGCGACTGGCAAGAGAGATCCTGACCAACCCGAAAAGTTTGGAAAAACTTTAGAGGATGGTTTAATCAAGAGCCGAAATGATTACTCTTCTCAAAGTCCTCATTAAGTGTAAAATTTCCTGTTCAATTTCTAATACTCCACTCCACACTGCAAACAATCTCTTCCTTTAAAAAGGAATAATAATACAATATTTAGACATCATCTCACCCACCCTCCAAGGGGAGAAAAAGTAGGGGAAGCGGATGGAGAAAAACCCAATGCCACGAGTACTAGAAGACTTCTTTCCACACGATTTCCTATCTCCCTTGAAAAGTTCACCATAACACTCGGTAAACAGCCCAGCTGTAATGCAAGATCACTGCGAACACTCTGCCTAACTATCAAAGGATTATAGCAATCCTGGTGATTTAGGTGCATCTGTCTGTGAGTAAACACGATTTGGATATGCCATCTGAAGGAAAGTGTAATGTATATTTTGATTTGTAACAAATATTGTGATCTCACATTGTCTTTGAAAGTGTGGATGTTGGTGTTTTGTGATTTGGTGAACAGAACTTAAATTGCCATTCTGGATACTTCCAGACATTTTCCACTAACAAAGATATCATTTAAAGGTAGATTTCCTCCTGGTAATTTTATCTGTCTTTGAAAGTGTCTGAACTTTAAAAAGTTTACATTTTGTTTCAAATATTGCTTGTTCTAACATTCCATAAATATACTTGAAATGTTATTTAAATATATTCAAAGAAATTTGAATTCAGCTTATATAATAACGCTTGAATATCTGAATTATATATTTGAAAAATGCACTTGAAATACACTGGATAATTTTGTGATTTAGATTTTAATTTGTTGCTGGTTTTTATTTAATTAGATGCTAATAAATGAAGCAAAATAAAAGTTGTTGTGTCTCACTTTAAATTGTTATTCTATCAAAAGATGTAATCCTGTATTTTGAAAGTTAAACTCACTTGAATATCTTAAACATTTTGAGAAATATGTTAATGAAATCCTTAAAAATAAAACACCCAGAGAAAAGCTCTTTTTGTATAGGTACATAAGATAACAATTTACTCTCAGTCTCTAACTTACTTGTAAGACAATTCCCCTCTGCAACAGACACAATTTAAATCTACCTTTGAAAGCTTGCTCTTCTGGTCAGTACTTCCGTAGCATTTTTGATAATATAAGAAAAAAAAATCTATCATGACAATAGAGATGACTGAGTTAAAAAGCTGACTAAGAGGAAATGAACTTAACAAAGTCATAATGAAACTTTGAAATTTGTGTATGAAAACTAGCAAAATGATCTTTTCTGACCAATATATTTTATGTCAAACCTTATTTTATGCAATAAGGAATCCATTAGGCAGAAGAAATTCATTAGAAATTTTTGACATCATAGGATAAGCAAAAAAAGCATAAACACAAGTTTAAATTATTTTAAAATACAGTGCATTCAAGCTCATTTTAAAAACTATATTTGGAGCTGGAAGTAAAAGAAATCCCATGACAATCCTTTGGAGTAGTTTTAGTAGTCAACAAGTGCTGAAAAGGCTGATCACTTATGGGCCTTAAGTTAGTTAATTCAGGTGATGGTAAATTTTTGGATTTCAGCTCTAGTCTGCAAATATTATTTTATAACATTTTATTTCAATATATAAATTAAAAATAATAAACTTCTGAATCTGTGGAAGCATTTGTCTTCGACTGTTTTGGAATAACTGCCTCTGCAAATAAAGGAAGATCTTTGCAAAATGATGCTAGAATTTCTAGCATGACATTTCATGCTCTTGAATTCTTAACCCCAGAAAAGAAGTGTGCAAATTTCACAGTAACATGAAAGTTAAAACATTAGAACAGATCTCAGAAGAAAGTGCTGAGAAAGAGCTACTCTAATACTCAGGTGTTTAAAATCTACACAATAACATTTAATAAATATTTATGCATTTCAAATGGTCCAAATATGTATTTTCTGGCATTATGCCAAAGAAAAATACAACCTTTACACATTTGAGTGCTAGTATATATTTTAAATCAAAGCTCAGAGAATCAGTTGCTTTCCTCTTAAATCCACATATAAAACCCATTCTTATTTCAGGAGATGGACAAAATGGGTATACTACTAGAGAATAATTTATATCTAAATGGCTTCCCCACCCCCCAGTTTCTTTATGACTTTTCAATAAATAATCATAGCACAATCTAAAGTTTTGAAAAATAAAAGTGATCTTAATAAGACATTTCTTAAGACGTTTTGTATTCAGCCTCAGAGCCTGAGATTCTGGGCCCCAGGGACTTGGGAGCAATTGACTTAACGACCAAATCTGCCCAAGTACACACAAAGGCACTCATAGAAAGACTCTTAAAATGTACATGCTCTGGCAATACAGGATTTAAATTCATTAATATATTCTTCAATTCCATAACGAGAACATGCTATTTAATTCATTTTATTTTCTTTGAGAAAGAAGAGAATGTGCTCCCCTCCACTGTCAGGTAAAACTAAACAAAATCGAAAACCACTTCCTGCCACAAAGCCGCCAGTACTGTACATGGAATCGGTTTAACTCACTTTCGTGTCGATCTTCTTGAAGGCAGAATCATCCTCATCTACCTCGAAGTAGATTTCTGTCGTGGTGATGGAGAGAGTCCCCTTGGCCACCACCACGGGAGCGATGAGCTGGGCAGGGGTGCTGAGAACCACTGGGCCTGCAAGGCAAGGGCAAGGGGAGTCAGGCTGAGCCCCTGTGGCCCTTCCCGCTCCCTCCCAGAAGGGTACCAGAGGTTTTTGTTGGCAAGGATGCACTAGAAAAAACGGTGCCTGTATTACGCGGCAAATTCTTTTCATATAAGATAAGTACTACCTAGTTTTATACATTACCTTATAACGACACTAGAGAGGAAAAAATGCTATGAAAACCCAGCGGGTCAGGATACCGAATAGCACTCAAACTCCACCTAGAAATTCTACATGGTCGCCGAAGGGTTGCCATTAACTGACTTAAAACTGCAGAACGGACTGTCTAACGCCCCGATTCTGCATTGAGCATCACTGTCTTTCCCAGAGACCCCAGGGCAGTCAGCACTGCCCCCAAGACCGGCCATCGCGCGAAGCCGTTCCACTCTGCAGCGGTGCTCCCTAAGGAGAGGTGAGAGGACGGGATGGGGGCAAGAATCTAAATAGATAAATTCCACTGTTCTGAGAGGTCTGCCTCTTGCAGGAAGATGTCCTAAGGCACGCTACACACACACACATACGCGTGCACACGGACATTACATAAAGTTCTTAGGTAGAAAAGAACGAAATTCTTAGTCATTCTCTCACAGAGAATAGGTCGAAAGTGATGAAAATGTAAGACGCTTGAACAAAACAATTCTCAAAAAACCGTGCGAAAGTGCCACTTCTCAACTTTCGAAACTACAGAAACAGCTTCACTATAAGTGCCTGCTAGGGTGCTTGCCTCGAATTCCCTCAATCTGTTAAGGTTGAAAGCCACGAATTACGCGTATAGAATATTAATCCAAAAGGGATATTACCTAAATGTTCTCTGTAAAGTCCCCCCAAAGGGAGGCATTCTTTGCGATCCTGGATTTGAAACACGATATAACGTTATACATAACGTGGGGATCGGATATAACTATTCATTTGTCTGCAGCAGGGGCGCATCATAATCCCTTCCACTTCTCCCCTCAAATGCATACAGTCAAATGAGTCACAATAACAGTTGGAGAAAGGCAATAAAAAGTTAGGTTCCCCGCGGCCGCTAGGCCTCGGCCCTCCGCGCGGCGACACCTCGCGCCGCCACCGCCCTCGGCCCCCGCCAGGCCGGGCTGGCCTAGGGAGACGCGGCCAAGTTGGCGTTCCCTGGCGCAGCACACACCCAATCTGCGCCCGTCCTGCACAAAGCCGGGCCGTTCCCGAGGCTGGGGGAACACTGAGGGCTGGGGCTGGGCTGGGCTGGCTTCTATCGCGATTATTAGGGGGTGGCTAAGAAGCAAACTGTCAGCGTCAGCTCTCGGCCCCGATCCGGACCATCCTGGGTCAGACCCAAGCAAAGGCCTTTCATTTCACTGCTCTCGATCCCTCGATGAGCCCCCGGGACTCGCGGACTCTGGGCCTCTGCCTCTGCCCAGCCGAGTCGCGGTCCACCTCGGTTGCACAAGGTTTTTCTTTGGAAAGGGAGAGGCGGTCGATCTGAAGCACCACTTTAAAGGCTCATCAATCTTAATCTAGGTTGCTCAAGTAATTATGCCCGAATCTCTTGTACGATTACAAGTGGATTTGGGTTTCTATTCCCCAGGCCCTCCTTTGTGTTTATTGGAGGCTCTGTGCGCGCGCTTGGCGGCGCCTTCAGCCTCCCGCGCCCTCCTCCGAATCCCCCAACGCTCCGGCCGGTTCGAACCGCTCCCTTAACCCTTAAGCAACCAGGACGCTCCTTTGGATGCCACTTATCCTATTTTCTCTCTGGAGAAATCTATGCGGTTTACTCTTGATTGAGGCGAGGTTGAGAAAGCTGATGTGGTTCACATTGGAAACAGTTATACATTGTTGATCATTGCTAAAAACCTCCAGTCTTCATTCTAAATACAGAGGACTATCAAGAATTATAGTTTAATAGAGGTTTCTGGCATTTGGTGACAAATAATGGTCAAAACCACTAAAAATGGCGAATTCTTTCTCCTGAAAAGTAATTTAACGTATCCAAACAATTAAATTGAAAACATAAAAAAAGATCAAAACCATATCTATTGACTTATTGAAATACATTACAAATTTTAAGCACACGATCCATGGACTTTCCATAGGGAGCACATCTTCTCTACTTCTCTGCGTTTCTGAAGGAGACTGTGCTTCCTTTAGCTTTTACTTCAATATCGTTTTGTTGAAGAGATTTTCTGGGCATTTATAAAAGGGCTTCGAACTGGTCCTTCTTTAAGAAAGACATATCATGAAATATTCAGCATTAATAGTGTGTCATTTTTACCCTCGTCCTTTGGAAATCTCCAATTACAACTTCCAATTCCATAGCATGTTTAAGGAGCACTGAATCTTTTTGTTGTAGTCTTCAGGGAGCAAACCAGCCACAGAGAGAATACGGAGTTAATCCACTACAGCAACAGAGAGAGGGGATTATGTTTTAATCCCCTTTGGGGGAGCATTTGGATTTTAGGGATACGGCATTAAAATGTTTACATAAGGCACAATCACAAGCCAGCAGATCTTCCATATGGCACCTGGTTATTTGAAAACCTCGGATCCCTTTCCAAATAGAAACTGTTTACAAAGAATAGCATCTCTGAATGACAGTGAGATGGTGATCTAGCTGATTCTGTTCTAGAAGATAACTTAAGTCACTATAAATTTAACATCCTAAACTTTGCTTGGTGTAGTAAATTGAGATTAACTGTAAATATATTCATCCCAATCACTACTATAGCAATCAAAAAATAAATTATAATGTCCTTGGCACACATAGAAGTATTGATATTAAAGGTTAAACAAATGGATAGGACAAAACCTCTTTCTATTGTATTGATGCATATAATAATGTAAAATTCCACCATCTAAAGTGGTAATTAACTAGAAAATATAAATGTTACTTACTTTTTACAACTGGCAATATAATGCTTAAAAATATGGATCCATTGCTATTTTTGAAAGAAGGATGGGGTATTATTTCCCATTTATCCAATTTAAAATCTGAACTAGAACAAAAACCACCCAAGCATAATGAAAGGAATATTTAAAATAGTAACTTCTCTTTAGAGCCATAAGATCTTTAACCAGTTCAGATAAACGGGTCCCAATGTATGAAGTAATTATAATTACTTCATAGTAATTACTTCAAAGTAAGCCTCGTTATGGACCTAGAGTAGAAAGTACACATGTTTTATATTAAAAATGAAACAATTTATCA